AAAGACGAAGGCGAAGGCGAAGGCGAAGACATAGACGAAGACGAAGACAATTACTAAAGAGGAAAACGAAAGACGAAGATCGCAAGACGAAAACAAAAGACCAAGGCGAAGACGAAAGACGAAAACGAAAGACGAAGATCGCAAGACGAAAACAAAAGACGAAGACGAAGACGAAGACGAAGGCGAAGACGAAGACGAAGACGAAGACGAAGACGAAGACGAAGACGAAGACGAAGACGAAGTCGAAGACGAAGTCGAAGACGAAGACGAAGACGAGGACGAAAGACGATGACGAAGACGAAACGAAGACGAAAGACGAAAACCAAGACGAAAGACGAAGATGAGAGACGAAGACGAAAAACGAAGATGAAAGACGAAGACGAAAGACAAAGACGAAGGATGAAGACAAAAGACGAAGACGAATAACGAAGAGGAAATACGAAGACGAAAGAAGGAAAACGCAACTAGCATTATAATGGAAACTAAATTGGCATCTACGCTACGATCAGGTTTAAGTCTCCACCTATTTGGAACGCCCTTCTAACCATTTATGAAATAAATTGAGTGCAAAATACAACTTAGAAAAAAGCGATAAAAATAAAATTTACATTCCCTAAAAGAGTCTTGTGTTGTGTAGATTCCTGATATACAACGTTTAGCCCAGCCCTCGAGTCTGCTTCATGAAATATCACAGAATTGCCTATTTCTGTGAACAGGATAAGTACATTCTGTAAGGATTGGATTTAAGTTAAAAGCTCTCTAACTACTTGAGTCTTAATATATTATTTTCTTGATTCTTTTTTAATTCAACAGTTACTTTGTGATAATACCGGTTTTGCTGTATGCAAATGGCAAGAAATGGCATAGAAAGGTATAAATTATGCCATTAATTTAACTTAAACCCCATTAATTTGACACAAAGAACATCAACGATTTTATCCTTGATAAAGGGGATCTGAAACTAATTATTATGGTTGCTGTTGCTTAAGTCTTCATCAAACCTACGACTTACAGTGACTAAAGAGCAGATGCACATCTTGGGTGTCCTTCAAATTTTCCTGAAAATAAAATCCAGAGTTGCAAACTATGACTATTGTTTTTCATTTGTAACATGTATTTAGCAAACTTCAAAATGTACCAACTTTAAATTAAAGTTAGTAAGAAAATAATCCTTAATTTTAATATTTTTGTGCCATGACAAAAATTATTTTCAAAAATTCTTAAATAATTCAAGAAATATTATATTAAATTTAATCATCTAAAAGTACTGTATGTAAAAAAAAATTTTAATTGTTACTGTAATTTTCTTAATTTTTGCTAAAAAGTTTCGAAATACTTTTTTTAATTTGAATTTTTTAAAATTTAAATTTGAAATCCAAATAATGAATAAAGTTGTACTATAATACAATACACATACTAGGTTGTGTTTTCTTTTCATCCCAAAAAATTTGAAGCATTAAGACAATTAAACCATGGAAGTATTCAAATACTTTTTTTTATATGTAGTAAGGATGAGTGGGGTTAGAGTGTTGGAAACATGTTGAAACATTTATATTTTAGCTCACAATCAGCACTCAAAATGTTTTTGCTTTGCGAGGGGGCATTTGACGAAGACGAAGGACGTATACGAAAGACGAAAACGAAAGACGAAGAGGAAATACGGATGCGAATGACGAAAAACGAAGACGAAGGACAAAGACGAAGACGAAAGACGACGGCGAAAGACGGAGACGAAGACGAACGATGACGACGATATACGAAGACGATAGACGAAAAACAAAAACGAAAGACGAATGACGATTACGAAAGACGAAGACGAATGTTCGGCGCTCGGCGCATTGCAAGCAACCCGTGCACACTACTCGGGATTCAGCGAGCGGTTGCCAGCGGTCCTTATCGACGAGTGCTTCATGTGTGGAGCCGCCTCAGCGCCCATTCACTATGCAAACGTAAACTGCATAACGCGTAGACGTAAACATTAAAATAAGTAATATACTGAAGTATTCACAAAGTCTAACATAAACGTTAACAAAATAAGAGTTTCTATTGGCTGTGAGACATTGTAATGTGCTATTAGTCGGATGTGAGAATGTATTTAGAGTTATCGACTGTGTCCATGGCTCATATGGCGTTAGTCCATCTATCGACGTCTTTCCTCTTTCGATTTTGAGGTTACGTACTGTGAATGGTTCATATCTTATGTCTTACTTAAAATAAGCACAGAAGCTTGCAAGCTTTAATGTTAACGTGTTACGTGTTATGCTTAAGCGAACGTATTGTGAATAAGTCCGCATTGGGACGTCGTAACTTTTATGTTAACACCATGCTTATACTTGTTGCATTGTGATTGTGCCTTAAGGCTGTACATCACGTCTTATCAATGCCACTGCTGATTGATCATATCAAACATATTTTGTCTGCGTATTTTGAAAAAGCAGCTGACTCTAAAATCTCTTCCGAGATCGCCTCTTACCAACGCGACCAACGGGTGAACTATAGGCGACTGAAGCACTTCCTGGCGTGAACGTGCATTGCACTTTTTCGTGCGTTCACAAAACTGCTCCGAGTGCTCAGTAGACGTGCCATGCCGGCTCGTCGACGGTTGTAAATGGGTGATCCGCCAGTCGATCTCTGCCTCGTGCCAGTGGAAATGCTGGCTTCCCTGCTTTAAAGTCCATTCACAATGCAAACAGAAACATAAGTATGACGTTAACATAAAAGTAACGACTACGTACATAAGCGGACTTATTCACTATATGTTTGCATAAGCATAACACATAAGACGTTAACCTAAAAGCTTGCAAGCTTCAACTTTCTGTGCTTATGCTTACGTAAGACATAAGAAATGAACCATTCACAGTATGGTAACTCAAAATCGCAAGAGGAGCGAAGTCGACAGACGAACTAACGCCATATGAGCTATGGACACAGTTTATACCTCGAAATCTATTCTCACATCAAACCATTAGTAAACTAGAATGTCTTACAGCAAATAGGAAGTCTTATTTTGCTTACGTTTATGATAGAGATTATTAATATTTCAGTCTATCATTTATGTTAATGTTTACGTCAATGCGTTATGCTTATGTTTACGTTTGCATTGTGAATGGGACTTTGGTCCGCGGTGATTGGAATTTGCGAAAGACAGACTCCCGGAACTCCCTTTCTCGTACAACGGCAGATTTTAAAATCGATTAGTTTACAATGATTCATCAAATACAAACCTTTACGGAGTACTGCTGATGTTTGTCTTCTCAAGACCTATAAAGTCGTGTAAAATAGTAGTGTTCACTTTTTTTTAACGAAGTTAGATTCGTAATCTGAATCGTTTATAAAACATTCGAGGTGAACGTTTTTACTGACGTATCCTGCATAATTGAATAAATTACTCTATGAAATACCAACTACTATTTTGTTGTGTGCAATTCTCAGGTAAGGTTCTGTCTTAGAGAATTTAGGATCGGCCTGCAGAGCACACAGCGAGCACCAACTTTTCTTTTTAATATCGCTCAAAACCCTTTTGGATGAGGACCATATCTTCATAGTTCCGCGCCATTAGGAATCCGACATTACCAACAAAACATCAATGTTCGAAATTTATCATCGATGTTAATGTAACATTGACCCCAAACCATTGATGTTTTTGAAACTAAATTAGTAAACATTGAAGTTCACGCGGAAGGAATGTAATTTGAGAATTATATCTTTTTTTAAATTTCAATTGGGATTTAACTCACAAAACAAAGTCAAACAATCATTAGAAACATTGACAAACTTGGATTATCTGATTTTATAATTTAAAAATAATATAGGCTTCCTTCTGGACGAAAACTCGAATGATTTATTTTTCACACTTGGGCACATTGGTCTGAAGAATATTCGGAGACACTAGCGAACTGCTGGTTATGAGCGGTGCGAGACGTTCACTTGATTTCAGACACCCCGTCCACTTAGCACTATCAGACACCTAACAGAAATAAGATAGGAATGGACATGCATGAAATAAATAACATAGGCAGATAGATTTAAGTAACTTTATTACAGAAATGGCACACCATTCATTTTTATTAAGGTGTCCACCACAGCCCAGAACGGATTTCGGCGCAGACTTGGCCGAGTGCATAGCCATGTCCTCGTTGCGTACACCCCCTCGGGCCAGTCTTCTACGAAGGCGACGCCAGCTCGATTCAATGTTGTTTGGGTGAGCCTCAGTTACAGGATCCATGAAGTGAAAAACGTGGTTCTCTGCCCCACGGACAAAGTTGTTTTGATGTAGCTGACTGTAACCCCTCCAAAAGTTGGTGTAAATTGTGGTGCCGCAAAATCATTTGCAACAATGTGGCCGAATCCCTTCTGTTATTGGGGCAAACTTCTCTAGTTTCCCGGTCAATCATGCCCAGAACCCTCTGCCTTCTACAACACGACCACGGTGATATTTCCGGAGGCTTATCTTGCATTCGTCAATTTCAACGATATGGTTTTCGCCTCCGATGGTTGGCGTCTTACGTTTTCAGCGCATGGTGACGGCAAATTCATTAACAAGTGAACGCCGCACTCCGCGAAAAAACAGCAGATCGCTCGAATATTCAGTTTATAGATGTCTGAAGACTAGAAGTTCAATAGAATCTTATAATGGACTTTTTTCGTCTAAAAAATAAACCAAATAAAATCATTGCCCCCCAAAAAATTGATGATTTTATAAAAACATCCATGTTTTGAAAACATGGACATTGATGACGCATCACTTCCCTCCACAAGCTCGCCTCTCTGAGCTTCATTTCCTTTCTGCCAGTGAAGTCGCGAGCGGGAGAGACTATTCTTCGATTATAATATTGTCTATTCACACGTGATCACAGCTGACCCAAGTGTGCCCGCTTGGAGGCCACATGAGCTTGTTAGGATTAAATCCTGAAGAATGGTGAAAGAACTTAATTCTAGAATCGCAGAATAAAATAAACTGAGATTTGCAGAAATTATTTATTAGTATTTACGATTATTTTACTTGCTTTTAGGACTTTACTGACAATTACTAATTTTCTGATACAATATTGTGTATAATACTAATAAAAAAATGTTCTTGATGTGCATTTCAAATTGTTTTCTAGTGCTCAATAGATTTTAAAATTCCCAAGAGCACAACACTATTTTTTATTGAATTCTCATTATGTTATCAATGTGATCTAACTTTCAATTTGCAATTGATTATATTCTTTTGTAAAAGTCGACAATTAAAAATGAAAAGTAATCTTTTATTGATTTAACCCTAACAGAGCTAAATTTCATTCACAGAATTAGCATTGGAGAAAGAGAAGAAAAGAAAAAAAAAGAAAAAAAATTGTATCACACTTTTTTCTAAGAATATCATCATTGCAAACAATTCTATTAAGAAGTAATTCTCTGAGAACAGTCGTTACTTTAAACACAAGACAATTCAAGGAAAATCACTTTAAAATTAAGCAAAAGAAGGTTAAAGTTAGTAAATTAAATGGCATAATGAATTCTCTTGAAACCATTTTTTAAGCTTCTTAGTTTATAAGTAGTGAGTAAAAATTGCCCGCCAATATTCAGCCTGGCCAGAAGTCAACATTACATCTGCAGGTTGTCGACGAATATGATCTTCACAATCTTCTAAATCAGCTTCTCCACTCTCTAAGCGACTGCCAAATCCAGTATGGAAACTGAGGTAACGTTGCTGCAAGAAAAATATTATTATTAAGATAAATAACAAATAAACTTCTGCTGGAGATTTATTCATTATTGCCACTTCTATTCTAGTATTCATGAATCAAATATTTAAAAATCTCAAAATTTTACTCTTCACTGGTGGTATTTGGTAGATTGGTTGTCTGATGAAAAGTACAAATTTCACATTTGAATGGTTTTTTGGAGATTTCAGTCAGAAAAGTGTTATGTTCGAAGAAAATAAGATAAGTGACAACACATGTTGGTATCACACGTGAGGGAGAAGACCACTCTGGGAGGCATAATCTTAGGGTGACGGCCTACTAAACTACTTTTTTAAGAAAACTATTTACAAAATTTCAGTTTTAAATGTTCATAGCAATTTTTTTATCTAGTCGTTTAATAAATAAGTAATTTAAATAGAGCTAATAAACTTCTAAAAATTTTAATGAAAATGAAGCTTAAGACAAATAAAGCAAACTGCTTTATTTCAAAATAATTAAAATTGTTTTTGAGAATTTGTCATGTTCACGAAAAATTGCATGTGATATTATTTAGAGACCTACTTTTGAAGGACAGATATCATTAAGAGAGATAAAATTTTCAATAATGGAGTTCTAGAAGGTGTCCACAAGATAAAAACTTTTACAATTTTTGAAATTTTAGAGGCGATACTGAAAATCAGATATGTCCTTTGTACCTGCTCATTCAAAAAGTAAGTTAAAGTTTGGAACTATTTTTGAGAACATTTTGGAAACGTTACAGAGACTTCTTGTTAACTACCCCAAAAATTTTAATACCCAAATGAATAACACTAGTCAGATTGATCAGTTATCCATTTTTGTGAAAATCCTGAGCACATTTAACTAATAATGCTACAACAGCATGTACTTTCTCGAATCAGTAATGGTTTCATAAAATCATAACACAACAATTTCTGTCCAAATTAACACATCTCAGACACCACTTGTAAAACGTACTACCAATCATAGTGTATTTGTCGTGAAAATTTAATTCATTTCAAAGTAGATAGAATTAATGTATTCAGTTAGATTCACATAAATAAATGTTTCAATTGTCAAATTATTACAGAATTCCTTGACATTGCAAAGGGTGATTTTTTCAATGCATTTCTACCTTCCATTATTTATAAACAATCAGAGAACTACTTTTAAAGTTGAGAAATAAAAAGAATGATCAAAGGTCTAACTTGGCAAGATGGAATCAAATGCCCCCTCGCAAAGCAAAAACATTTTGAGTGCTGATTGTGAGCCAAAATATAAATGTTTCAACATGTTTCCAACACCCTAACCTCACTCATCTTACCTACATATAAAAAAAAGTTTTTTAATATATCCATTGTTTAATTGTCTTAATGCTTCAAATTTTTTGAAATGAAAAGAAAACACAACCTAGTATGTGTATTGTATAATAGTACAACTTTTTCAATATTTTGGATTTCAATTTCAAATTTTTAAAAAATAATTTCAAAACCTTTTCGCGCCATGAAGAAAATTACAGTAACAATAAAATTTATTTTAAATACAGTACATTTAGATGATTAAATTTAATAAAATATTTCTTGAATTATTAACGAATTTTTGAAACTAATTTTTGTCATGGCACACAAATATAAACTTTAATTTAAAGTTGGTACATTTTGGAGTTTGCTAAATACAAGTTACAAATGTTTACAAATGTAAAAAAAATAGCCATAGTTTGCACCTCTTGGATTTTATTTTCAGAAAAATTTGAAGGACACTCAAGACTACAATCTAACTAAGCAATCTACACAAGACACTGTTAGGGAATGTAAATTTTATTTTTATCGCTTTTTTCTAAGTTGTATTTTGCATTCAATTTATTTCCTTAAATGTTTTGAAGGGTGTTCCAAAAAGGTGGAAACCCAAGCCTGATCATCTTTAGCATAGAGGCCAATCTAGCTTTCATTATAATGCTAGTTGTCAGAAGTACGTTTTGACTACTATATTTCTGTGGCTTTGACTTTAATTTTTGTATTTAGAGATCTCCAATTACAAATATTTGTGATCCAATTTTTAGATTATAAATAAAAAATATTTTTTCTCTTTGTTTTCCAACTTGTGACATTATTTCAAAAACTAGGAGGGAAAAAAATCAAGCTTATTAAAACTATTTCTCAGGAATTTCAGTCTTAGATATTATTTTTAAACAACTTTCCAAAAATAATCTTTTAAAATTTTCATTTGGAATGAAATATTTAAATCAATATGGCAAAAAATTAAATATTGAAGATGTGTTTGTTGTGTGGGAGAAGTGAGTGAGATTAAATAGGTAGAAACTGGTTGAACAAGTTTTATTTTGTGTTGGAATGACTTTTCAAAACACCTTTCATTTTGTTTGAGGGCAGTTCTTACCATCTCGTAGAGCTAGATCCTTTGAAAAAGGTACCTGTAAATTTTTGGTGAACAATCCATCAGATATCAGCTTTGAGGCTTTACGAAGACTTTGTGCATACATGTCAATAACACTGATGTAAGCTGCAAACATGTCTTTGATATCAAACATACCCCTTGAATTAGGTATACCAATGTTCACTCCTCCAGGTTGCAAACCACCCTGAAACATTTAATTTTGAAAAGCACTAAGTAAAAATTGTATTTAACTTCCTTATTGTAAATCAGATTAAATTTTTTTACCTGTTCAATGACATTTTTCATCAATAGAGTAGAAAAAGCTACGTCTTGATAATGAAAGGGCTGAACAATTTCAAGGCATCCCACTGTCCCATACCTAAAAGAAAATTAAAGGACAGGTTAAGACATATTTTTATTACATTTTCACTTTTTTGTTACAAGACCAAAATTTAAATGATTTTGTCTTGATTTCAAAGCATTTCATAGTCACCATCAACATCATCATCAGTATGATCTACTAAAGGCCAATCCACCTCTATGGGGTCTATAAATTACATAACGTTGGGGGAAGGGGGGGGGTTGAGGCAGTCTTACGCTGTGTTACATAGGGGTAGGAGGGTCATAGTTAAGTGTTACGTGATTCTAATATTTATTTTCAAAATCTTTCAACATTTGCTGAAATAATTTCTTTTACTCAGTCTTATATAAAATATTTTCGTATTAACAAATTAACTTAAAAATATAATGAATGAAAGAAGTTATATTCTATAAATTGTTGCAATAAATGAAAATATTTTTTCATCAATGATATTTTGATTTAATCTTTTAGAAAATATTCAAGACTGATCTATAGTATATTCTAAAATCCAATTAGTTGGTGCAGTAGACTTGGAGCCTGTGCTTCATCCTTGACGGCATATACATGGCTTGTCAGAAATTTTCTGGCCTGCACTTGCTTCTTACATTAAAAAATTGTCCCCAAACTTATTGTTATGCATAGTCCACACCACCTACTAATTCTCAAGTTAATTGTACTAATTTTAATGTATAACAATTAATACAACTTGTTTCTGCTTTAAAATTGAGTTTTACTTATTGCAATTGGGGGGTGGGGGGACTTGTCGCAAGCACAACGTAATTATTAGACGGGGATTCAAGGGTGCATAACTGGTGCGTTATAGAGAGGAGAGGAGCATTCAAAATACTTCAAATTTGGGTTACATAATTTATGGACAGCCTCCTACAACTTCCTACCCTCTGCAATATTTGTCTTCATGTTTGTGTAGGAGATACATTTTAAGAAATGAGATGTCATTCACATCAGGTGACTGAGGTGCCCAATGTTTGTCCGTCCATCAGATGCACTACGAGACAGACATTTTCTGCACTAACACATAATAACGTTACTGTTGTTAATAATAATGCTACACGTAACCCATATTATTGTTACAGCTCTTTGCAACATTTCTCTTTCAGCTCCTCGATTTGCTTTATTTTCTGATTAAATAAAAAAGTTGATACACAAGTGGGAAGTTTTTTTCATTGCCCTTACATGCTACCCATACCAATGAATCTCCTTGCCATTATTTTCATCAAAACAATGAAGAACGTCTTCCATTTGAATAGATGTGCTTGCAAACATTAATATTTTGCTTATACTTTCTAACTTTCGTTACTAGAGTGGTATTGGTAATGGATAAAATCATAGATGAATCATATAGGCACTTGAGAGTTAAAAGACTATTCACTTGGTAGAATTACCCCCTCAGCTCCTCACTTTGCCTCAGGCTCTAAACATTCTCATTGTGAATAAAATCTTATTTTAATCTCTTATACTATAAATCACTATTATCCCATTAACTGTTCATGGCTAACTTAAATTTCTCACGCATTTTATATGTACTTTATATGTAGGTTTCTAATTTTATGGAATTAACTGAGTACTAGAAAGTATTTTTTCTAAGAGATCTTAGAAAAATGTACATGAAATATCAACAATTAAGTTTATAACAATTCTTCATGTATTTTTTAATTCCCTTTAAAATGTTTCATAATCTGATATGTATGTATTGTTTTATTGGTTTAAAAAACAAGGTCAATATTTACTTACACACTTGCAAGGAACACTTCATCTGAAGGCATAATGTCCAACTTATAGTGGCGCTCTAATCCATAATGCCTAAGGAGGCATAAAGCAGCAAGAGCGTTTGGTGCATAGCTATGTTGGAGGACAGTTGAATTATATTTCTGGGAGCAGGGTTGAAACAAAAGTTGGCCTCGGAAATTTAAACGCTCCTTGTAATCTGTAAAAATTCAATATTGGGTTGTTTTCTTTGGCTCATCTCTGAAATTCCAAAAGCCTTATTTCAAATTAGAAAATGCTAGAAAACAGACATGGTTTGCTGTTTTCCAAGCAGTTTGATGAAGAAAGAAATATTAGATGAAAATTACTTTTTAACGTTATTGTATGTATCATTACAAATGGTTCAAGAAAGTTGGTGCCATTTTGTAGCAGCACTAAATCATCTTCATTTACTACCGATAATGCTTTTTCAAACCATTTAGAAATATTGCCTGTTACTTTTCTGATAGTAAAATTAACTGCATACGCCTCTCTAAATATAACTTCCTTTTAAACTACCTACCTATACAACTTCACTCTGAAAACTGATTTCCTCAAAATACTGCTTTACATTTTACAAAGTGATATCACCCAACAATTACAATACAATGAATTCAAAACTTACAGATTCTTTCTGTTCCTGTCACTCACCCTTGTCACTTCTGAATTATGAATGCAGAAAGGGCATGACTATTTTCCCTGATTTTTGTCCCTCCATCTCTTATTGCTACAATCTCTGTGCTAAATACGAAGAGGATTATAGTGAAATTTTTGAAACAAAATAACACCAATGACATCATTTTTCAAAATCTCTACTTTGAATCCCAGGTCTAATATACTGTCAGTAACAGAAAACAAATTGCTGTCTGCTAATAAAATGAGTTTTGAATGGTCTTATTTTTTGAATTTCCTAACAATCCTTTTAGAGTGACTTTTCCTAGGTTCATTTGAATCAAACTTAATATGATCACTTAAAAAAGTCCCTTACCTGCAGTTGTCTTTAAAAGGCGTGAATAGTGACGTAGTTCTCGAGACATGTCTGTGTTCAAAATGCTGCTGTAGCCTTCATTAGAATCTTTCACCAAAAAACATTCAGCTCCTAGTCGGTTGGCCATTTCCATTCCTTTCTTCACTTGGGCTGCAGCTGTGGCCACAATATTAGATTCTGGGTTAGTGAAACCCCCTTGCCTGTATCTGCAGATAGAAAGCAAAAAGATAAAAAAATTTGAAAGTCATGTTATCTTGTTCATAAAAGTTATATCATCTTTTTCAGATGGCAAACTTCATAATTTTTACGAGTTTGGAGAAAAAAATAAATAAATAGCACTTCTGCTACAAAAACTGCTGTGGAAAATTAGTTTTGCAGTTACAAAAAATATACAAATTTTGAGAAACAAACATACACACCAGTGGCGAGGCATGGCAGTTTTGCCTTCATTGCTAGACTTGTCCAGTTGCCCTTTTTGAAGCAACCCACACTGGTCCCAATTGGCAAAATTCTGACCAAAATACTGATTGGTTTGCATTACTTGAAAATTTGTTTTCTAAAATGTATTATTAATCAACAGCCTCTGGAGCCCTTGCATACAAATGTGTATGCGAATCAAGCCAAACTTTTGTATTTTGGCCAGGTTTTTGGCAGTTTGGGCAGTGACAGTCAATTCAGAAAGACAACTACGATGTCTAGCGATGATCATACAGAATTGTCACACATCCCGCGGATACACTCATACATTTATTAAACAATTATTTAGATTCAAAATCACAAGTGCTCATTTACTTAATGCAAATTTAGGTGGCAATTGGTGGTTTCATTGAATGTATTGCTTACTTTAAATATCAATTTGACAACATAAATAAGTAGCTACTTGGCTGTCCGGGAGACCTACATGCTAGCCGCAGATGTCAATGCCTCTCGGACAGTAAAGTAGTTTCTGACTCCAGCTGCAAAAACCTATGCTCTCAACATTAATAAATATGGGTCCATATTTAACAAATGTGTACCAAACTGTAGTAGTATTTTAACTAACATCAAGGAAAAAATAATAATTTTTCACTATGTTTTGTTTTTAATTAACTTTTTTATGAAGTTCAACATATTAATATACTACCCAATATATTCCACATAGTTTCACCTAGAATGTTTGTTCAAGTCACAGGTGACCCATAAAGGTTTCATTCCTGTGTGTAACTGTAATTCTGCCACCAAGTGTGCTGTATCATCAATGTTTTGACAAGTTTCCTCCCAGGTGCTACCCTCAATAGCAACATTACGATCTTCAAAAGTCCAATATTTAACTCCTGTAAGGCAAGAAAAAGTTATCATGATAAATATCCGATCAATTTCCTGTGATGAGAATTAATTACTCAGTATAGAAAGAAGGTAGTGTACACACCAAGTTTGTAGTAAAATTCAAAAGCAGCTTTTAAACGCCTCTTATAATTTTCTTGGGTTTGTGTATCATCATCCCAGAGTTTATGAACATTGCCAGCATGCGACTGCAAATTATTTCCTGAAAATAAAGCTTGTGTTAAAAATATTTTTAAACATCTGTCCATGCGCTCATAACTTATTAGTTGAAAAGTGTATACCTGATGAACAGAAAGCATGACAGAAAGATATAGAAGGTCTAAGCCATTCTTCCATAGTTCGTCCATGGACACGTTCCATTGCATTATAGTATCGATAACACAAAGTTTCTTCTATACTTGCATCTGGCTTGTATTCAATGCGGTTTATTCCTGTGTAAACATTAATGAATTGGTTAAAGGACTATCTTATTTGTTACTTCTTAAAGTATGGCCAAATTCACTCACCTGGAAAAAACTCATTGAAGTCAACATTTCGACCTACTTCCTTTGTTGTTGTCTTCTGCCTCTTGTTGACAGCTTGAGATCCATAAGCAGCCATTGCAATTGTCCTTACTTGCCTGAAGTCTTCTCCAAGACTGAGAAACATATATATCTGCTATCCTACCCACACTCTTCAGGAACAAAGGGAAGCCCTCAAGCAGAACAAGCTTACTTAAATTTCCTCCTTTGTGTACGTGTGAAACAAGCACCTCAGCAAAGGATTGTTTTACAAAGAATGTTCTGAAGAAAATATCATGGCAGAAAAACAAAGTAAAATAATGCAATGAATTTAAAACTTCTTCAAACCTTCCATATTATACTGACAAATAATTAATGAATAAAACAAATCTTGTTCAATTCTTCCAAGTTTAAAACCTTCACTCTCAGGATGAAAACCAATTAATACTAACTTTTAATTAGTTTAAGGAAAGTTGGAATAAAAATAATTGTATTTCACAAAAGTTTATTCTTTTAAATTAGATCTGTTACATATTTCAATAATTATCTTTTAAATTTACATCACATTCAATATACTATTTACAAGACATGTTTTTATGTGTAAAATAGTCACTTCAATCATAACAAGCAGAGCAAACTTAATAATAAAGTGAGTTTTATTAATGCTTATAGCACAACACTTAAGTATATTTTCTGATTCTGTACTTTTATTGCAGTTATTGTAGTTGCAGTTTTTGTCACCTTTTACTTTAGTGTTGTCAATAATTTATCATGACTATTATTGTTTTAAAAAAATTCCTTTTATTCTGTTTTCTACAAAATACCAAAAATTTTAGTTTCCAATGTTTATTTTTATAACTTAAAAACAAACCCAAAAATAATCTACAGAAACAAGCTTCAAAAACAAGTTTTGAAAGTAATTTCAAGAACACACTGCTTGAAAACACTTGTATTAAAAACTCACACATTACTTCTGTGGTATCAAATAAATTAAAATAATTTTCTAAAAGATCCACCAAAAGACTCGAGCTAGTAAAGCTAGAATAAGGAACAAGAGTGACAGAGGGAGAATTGATGTTTTCCTCTCAATAGGCTCTGAGAGACTTTTCACTCCTGACACCTGGCCCACAGGAAGGGGTTGGGCTACTCCAGGGGAGAGCCATTGAGGTTTAGCAGACAACAGTTCACCAACCATACTGTGCTTACTGGTAGACACAATCTTCACAGATACCATCTTTCCCAGCAATCCTTCACTTTGTGGAACTAATACCTGAAACAACATTGCACTCAAGAAAGAATCAATGTGTAAATATAAAACAGAAAGAAAAGGGACAAGGTAAATAATCAGATACAACTTGCAAATAATAATATAGTAAATAATATAATAATAATATATAAAACCTGTAACAAAACCTCTAAGTACAAAACCTACCACGCTTGACAAAAATCTCACAACAGAATTATTTTGATATGAAAATGATCTTAATACATTGAATACCTGTGTAATGTAGAAACGGAATAGTTTTTTAAAGAGTTGCCAGAGATTAAGACTAAGGTAAGAAGGAAATTTAGTCCTAAATTTCCAGCATTATCATCGGCAAACCATAGCATGGAGAATTCCTTCAGTAATTGACTGAATGATAACTTTTTCACTTTCTATCTGCAGTTGAAAGCTCTGGGAAATCTTTCTCTAACATCTACTCTTATCCAAACTTTCACCTTAGTCTGAGTGTGCTGAATCATGCCCTTCTATTTTCAAAGGTTGGAATGTGTAGTTTTGTATAAATGATGCTGCATATTCATAAACTTCTTTTATACATCATAAGTAATAAGTGTTGTGATTTTTTGGTGACCATTCACACAATTATTTTTGTATAAAATTGGATTGCAACACAGTAGAAAAATAAGATATGTAAAAGTAACAACTCCAAGAGTTATGTGTACAAGGTCTGTTGATTTCAATTTTAAATATTGGATCTTCCATATGATGTCCTCCACATTGCTTTAAAGAAATTTTTGAAAAGAAAGGTCTTCAGGCAGTGTGATTAACTGATAACCATAGTACTACTATCAAACTCAACTGCAGCAACAAAATCTAAAGAGAGGGTATTAAACACAAAGTTATCACACAGATAACTAAACACAAAGTTGTCACATAAACTCCTGATTTCCAATAAATTCTTTTTCAGCAGCTCTTCCATTTCTACAGAAGTTTGGCTCTTATACCAAGCAAAAGAGTAATTATTAGAGGGGGAGGGGGGTGTTCTTGTTTTTTTGAGAAAAATGTGATTTTGTTTTATTAACTCTTTAATAACTCAGATAACACATTTGTATAGCTCAGAAAATGAACAAATAAATTATATTTTTACCAGATACCACTAGTAGATTTTCACAAAGGTATTTTCACAAATACAGAGAGCAGGATACTTTAAACTAATTTTTATATTTCTTAGGTGTGGAATTACTTCAGCTTGGTGGTATATTTCTATTGCCTATTCTGTACGAACTTTCTTTGACTTTTAATTTATCTGTTAACTTTTAAGGATTACAAAATATTGATTTACTTTAGATTACTACTAGATTGAGTGATAGAATAATCACAGACTTGCACCAATTGTAAAGAGGTTTTAGAGAATTGCTGTGTGTTGGCTCTGAACTCCATTACTCACGTGATTATAAATTTGCAAAATATCTGTAGTCATGAAAAGTACATTCCAGAATGACACCAAAACTACAATGTAACATATGTGGTTTTTAAAACTGTAGTAGTTTCAAATGGACAAACACAAATCATAGCATCATAGATTAACATTGTATCATATGGAAAATGGCACACAAGCACTTTTGGTGAAACGCTTTGTACCCACAGTTCAAGCTTGAACGTAAGTTAAGAAAACACGCATTTTCTAGCTTTCAATGTGCGACACATGGTAGGAGACAAGTGTTTGTAACAATACAATAAGGTGGTGTTGTGACAAGACTGTTATAAATTGCGGGAAAACTGGATTATACTATCGTAAAAGCAGGGTATTTACAATATTATAAATATACTGAAACTGATGGGATGCGACCGATAAGAAATGTATTAAATGCTTGGACGCTTAATTGCAGGAACGTAAAAGCTGTACATACATTTTACTGTACATTGTTTTTCTACTTAATTATTGTGATTACATTGGAGTCTTCATTATCAAATGAAGTTGGTATTTTATTGTCAGTTACCTTTATTTTGAACTTATAGTGTTTATTAAAACTCACCTGTTCATATGCTTTTGTGTGCCCAACGTAATGTTTCTTATCGTGAGAAACTTCGGTCACTAAAATATTATGAATTTCACCCTCACGCCCACTGTACGGTAAATAAGATTGAAAAAGTTCCCATAGCTGTTTTGTTCTTTTTTTCACCTAAAAATAAAAAAAATATGGAAATAATTTTATTAATGATACAGAAAATCAATGATCATTACTATCTTAAAGCTTAGGATACTACTTCAAACAACTGTTACCTCTTGGGTGGGAACTTTAGGCATTCTGGCAGCTGGAGTTCCAGGCCGAGGAAAGAACTGATTAATAAACAAACTTGGAAATTTGTATTTTTCACAGAGAGTGAGTGTTTCTGCAAAGTCTTCCTCAGTTTCAGTTGGAAAACCACAGATTATATCTGTTGCAATACTTAAATGGGGAACTCTGCAAAGAATAAACATGTTAATCAATAAGTTTCAAGCCACATGCACTATCAATGAAAGTATTATAATAATAATATCTGACTATATTTAACTAAATTTAACTAAAACAAATGTACTTGTGTTGTACAATAAACATTTGACAAGGAGTTAAAAGAAAGAAAGAATGTATTCTTAAAAAAAACACATGACTTATCATAAATTCATATAAAAATAGGTTTAATTAATTTTCTTGTGAACTAAACACATACTTCACTGTGTACAATACTTAATAACAGTTGGCCTTAAATGCAAGGTATTTAAATTGGTTATGGGCTGCCTTTAAATTTTTCCATTGAAAATAGGAAAAAATAGGAAAGTATTAAGCACTAACTCCAGAAATCTTTTATTACTCCGTTGATAAATAGCTTAGATTTTTCAAGAACTGTAAGTGAGGCATAACTGACAGAGGGGTCAGGGAACCCATCGTAAAAATAACTCCAACTGTCTGCAAAAATATCCACGGGTGTCTGAAGTAGGACATAGAAGATATGGGTGTCCAAAGGTATCAGTCCACTAAGGTATACAAACCAACCGACTCATTGCCCTCATAAGCAGTGGTCAGTATACTTAACAGTTGTCCAATGAAGGTTACAATTGCTGCATGAAATAAAATTTACCTCTCTTTAAGAAAATTAACCACATGTTCAAAATCTGCTCTACAGTATTCTCTCTTCATGTCTCCAAGAACAGCATCACTTCCAGATTGGACAGGAACATGGAGAAAGCTATACACCCGTGGATGTGACAGTATTTTCGACATTTCCTATGGACAAAACCTAATGTAGTTATTGCAACTTGAAAATTATAGAAATAATGCACATGGTGTGAAGAAGTCTAATAAATTACCTCTAAATGTTCTAAAATGTAAGGAGGATTTGTCATTCCAACTCGCATCATGCAACCTTCTGGAATAACATCAGTGAGCTGCCATAAAAGTTCTGGTAAGCTTGTTCCAATATCCCTCCCATAAGCACCTGTATCTTCAGATGTTAACCACAATTCAACAACTCCTTCTTCAAAGGATTGCTTCGCTCGGGCAACTATTTCATCTGGGGACAACAACAAAAAAATCATAATAACTGATGATGTTCTTGAATTAAAACAAATCAATAACTCCAACAAAGATGCAATCAAAATTACAACCACAAAAACCATTAAAAATTGTATAACAAACAAACGTTTCAGTATAAGCAGACAAGGCCAATGAACACTTCCAGACAAATTCAAGAGTAATGCGATTTTGCAACTTGTTTCAATTGCAAATGATTCACGAATTAGAAAATGAAATACCAACTAGAATAAGATAAAAATGAAAACAACACAACTTGTTTGAATGTACAGTATTACAATAAACTGCATTAAACACCAAGATGAACTAAAATTGTGTCTTAAAAACAAACTCTTCTTTTCTTGTTTAACCTAATTTTAGTTGTTCGCTTTTGCCACCATTTTGGGAGATAGGATAGTAAGTTATTATTTATTTGGTTTATGTGCAATATCATAGCTGATGCCGATCCGGTGGCCGAGATCGCTAAGGCAGTAGTGCCGTAGCGATCTCGTACCGAAAGATCGTGGGTTCGAGTCCCGCCTCGGGCATGATTGTATTGTGTTCGTCCTTTCACCCCCTATCATCCATCATCCTCCATCTCTCATTATCACCTTTCTGAATAACATTCAGAATTGTAACTCGAGGATTTATCCTCACCTCAAGGTGATACCTTCGACAGTCGACCATGAACAAAGTGAAGTGGAACTACTCAAGTGGTCCAATGTGGCCAATCAAGTTAATAATAATAATAATAATAATAATAATAATAATAATAATAATAATAATAACAATAATAATAATAATAATCATAGCTGATTACTTGGTATTGCCTAGGAAACTATTTATCATAATCATCTATGAAGGGGAGGAGTTAAGCTCCATGCCCACAATGTTAAATTTTGAAGTTTGTAACCCATTTTCTGAGAAACTATTAATTGCACATAAACCAAATTTGGCATGTGATTTGAGACACACCTTGTTCATTTAACGAGTTTATTTCAGATACCTATCAATACATGTAATGCTTTAAGAAAATGCTACTTGAATGCACTTTTTTGTTGCAATTTTTTGCAATCTATATTTTATTACAATGCCTTTCTTTGCATGAAAAATATGGACATAAACTCAGTAGATATTAGTATAATAACACAATATTGTGTAAAATATCATAGCAAAAACTTTTAGAACTTAGTTGCATACGCTCTGTTACCATTGGTGCAGACCAACCACTGGCTACTTTACAGCGGCCTCTCTCTCCAACTTAACAACAGGCATATGGCAGCTCAGCACAGTTTTAGATGGAGATATGAATGAAGTCATGAATACACCCTGACCAGAAATGTACACTGCTCTAGTGATCTGGGCTAAAACGACATCTAGCATGCAGGAGAGCGCCAAAATGTGCTTATGTTTCATTTAGGATGTCTCCATAACAAGTTTGCTCCTCTAGAGAGCACTAACAATATTTAAAAGTGACATGTTGCTTATAATTAACCCTGCGAGTGAAAGGGTTAAATGTCATTTAACCTATTTGAAAGACTGAAATACAAAAACAAAACAGTTTACATCATTATGATGTGAAAAACAAAAGAGTTCACATCATTACTAAGAGTGCAAATAATAATAAAAACAATGAAATCCAAAAATCGAAAATTTTCTTACAAATGGTGTATCACCATGCTGAATTTATTATATTATTTTGCACTGTAATAAAATTTGCTGCAACATTATGGGACCGCATATTCCTTCTTGTTTTTTTCTCATTTTCTCAAAATATTAGTGCAAAATTTGAAGCATATTGCTCCAGTGGTTCACGTTTTTGTGAAACAAACCTATACAAACTATCATAACTATTTTAAAATATTAAGATTTCCTGTACTTGTTTTATGCTTTCTCATTATTTTCCTTCCTCAACAAATTATGTACCAAATTAAAAATGAAAGGTATTGCTTTGAATCAGTTAAATATCTCTTAAATCCTAGCTAGCCGACTACAGCAATATTATATTTTCAAATATTTACATTTCTAACACAATAAAACTAAATGATGGACTTACCTGGAGGATAACTGCCCAATTCCCCACGTGCATGCTTTGTTTTACAGTATGTGCACTGATTGAGACAGCCAGTATTTATTGGAATGATTTCTACTAGTGGGTTTCGACGCACTTTTGGAAGTAACAAAGAGGCACCACCCATTTTATGACCAGCTTGACGCTTCTGCCCTAATAAGCGCACAGTATTTCCTGGACAAAATAACATTTGTATTTAAAACACTGTAACAAGAATTTACTTGCGTATACACACACTGGCCAAGACTTTTACTACATAGATCTTCTACATCTCCTAATCGTTTGCACAAAGTTGAATGGGGGGGAAAAAAGTCTTCACACTCTTGAAATATATTTTTTGCTCTTTTCCGAGCTCCAAAGTTATGTGAAGTTTAAAAGGTACATGACTAAGGTAAACAACTGGTATATGTATTGCATAATTGATGCATTGTGGTACATTGATGCATAATTTCAAATTTTAGTTTGTTTTTTGGCTACAAACTTATTGAAATTGTTTATGTAAACTAAATGGACATCTTATCTATTTAAGTACAATAACAGCATCAACAAGATACGCTAGAAACCCTAGTTTGATTCCCAATCGTGTCATAATAGAATATACAGTGCAAACTGGTTAGAAGTATGGTGATGGGAATCAAACTTGTTTGGCTTTCATGCCTTTTTTTTTATTTTGTTTTAGTGTTTCATTTGCATCTCAAAACTTAGAAACTGCTAATGCATTGTGAGTCCACCAGGGTGATGTATTAGAGATATTTTAATATAATATAAAGAGACTAGGGAATGCAAGGCCCACAAAAGGTGATTTTGCTTCATTTTATAGCTGCCAAAGCAAATGGATCAAAGGACTTGAAACTCACCCTACTTTAATAATATTTTATTATTTACAGTGATACAAATTTCAATTATTTGGTTAGTGGAACTGCAAATGAATAAAGGAAAATGAAATTATAACAGAACATAAGGTCAGTGTTTTAGGCTTTATTCTCCTGCAGGAAAAATGAAATTATGTAATTAAAAAATGGAACAAGCTCCATTATTATAATGAAGTTGTAACCTTGACATCAATTTTAGGCTACACATAATACAATTTTAATTAAAATTTTAATGTCTGTATTGAGACTTATGATTTTTTGACTGGGCTAGGGGAAGAGGGTAGAAAGAGGGAGATAAAACACACGATACTGTGAAAACAATGCTGACTGAAATGATTCCATTTTCCTTTCAAGCATAATAACAATAGTTTTGGCTTATCCTTTGAACCTAAAAAAAAATTAAAGGAGTAACTTTCAGTATATTATAAATAAATCACCTTTCAATGTTTCTTCAACAACTTCTACAACTCGATCTATCTGTTGCACGCCAATGACACTCAATCCTTTAATAAATTGTGTTTTGGGGGCTCCCTGAGGAACACAACCTGCAACCACCACAGGTTTTCCAATTTTCTGGCCAGCTTCAATTTCATTTCTAGAACAAAGCCAAGATGCAATTAATCTACATTATTTTGTTTCATTCTGAAGGGAAAAGAAAAGAATAAATTATAAAACCTGAAATGATCTTCTGCAGGACTTTTAACAGTGCAGCTATTTAGAATCCAAAGATCTGCTTTATTCTTATCATCTAAAAAGCAAACATGTTTCAATAACATTAAAATTTAATGTATACACATTCACCACAAAAAATTAAAAAGAACTTACCTGTAATTGTATAACCAAATGAGGCTAACTGGCCAGCCATGTATTCACTGTCAGAACTGTTGTGGGTACAACCCCAAGTTTTAATAAATATAGACTGGGTTCCTGGAATTAAACTTCTTTGAATATTTGAAAAATTCTCTTCTTGTTCTTTAATATTTTCATTTTTGTTTCTCTTTGCTCTAATAGTTACATATCTTTTGTTACTGTATCGCTCTTTGGGGGTTATGTCTTGGGATGAAATCAGATCCTCTATATCTGGAATGATTTCACTACAGGGTGCTGTCATCTGAAATTTAATAAGTATTTTAGGAAAAAGGAAGCTATAATATTCAACTTTGTAATGCAAAATGTTCACTATCACAAATGCTTTATAAAATGTCTTGTTTTGAAATGGTCTCCATGTCACAGTTACCTTAGATAATAACTATTTTACCGCAAATGTTCACGATCGACTTTCCGTGAGCAGATCTTGTTGAAGTACACAACAGGCAAGGGCACGAAACATGAGTATAACCTCACACTACCCAAGTCCCTGTGGCCCACGACGTGCAAAACAAACACAAAGCCAAAACATCTTTACACAGTTGGCAAACCTACTTAAAGGTAACGCTAGTCGATTGTCACCAAGATTCGGTACTTCACATGAATCACGGTATCAAAAGAATCAATTTTTAGAATTATTCTCGGAAAGTCAAGGAATCGCTTAAGCGTATACTTCAATTTAAACTTAGTGACACTTTAAAGTCAAGTGCTGGACGGAGAGGGGAACTCATCCAAACAGATGCTTCGTTATGATTTAAATTTTTAGTATTAAAGCTCTCGATTGGGTGACCGTATTTCCGTCCTTCTAGCTCGTGAAGTTAAAGAGCCACTATATTTAAATCGGAGTACAGTCTGATTGATTTGATTACTGTTTGATTACCGAAGTCCCGGTACTCGAGGGGAGCATCCGTCAGATCAGTTCGTGGGTGGTTACTGAGAGGGGTCGTGGGAAACAGAAAGCGCAGCGTCATTTCGAGTTTTCTATTTCACGCGTCCTCTGATTGCGTACATTGATTATGTATCAGTCCGAATTCTGAATTGTCATCGTCGTCATAAGGCGATCCTCTGTGGTATCCCATCCAATCTGCGTGTGGACATTATTTCTACCACGTTGTGTGTTCGTCATCAATAATGGGAGTTGATATTATAAGTTTTGCGTACGCCGCTACTGTTGCTGCTGGTGGAATAGTGGGTTATGTGAAAGCTGGTAATTTTAATTATTGTACCCTGAGCCTAAACAAACTTTATGTTCTCCTCTTGTGAATTGTAACGATGTATTTTTTTGTTTTTTTCAAGGGAGCATTCCTTCGCTAGGTGCTGGGTTGTTGTTCGGCAGTGTTTTGGGATATGGAGCATACCAAACATCACAGAATCCCGAAAACTATGGTGTGTTATTAGGTACAAGTTGTGTCCTGGGAGGCCTTATGGGCTATCGCTTTTACAACTCTGGAAAATTTATGCCTGCAGGACTTGTAGCCACTCTCAGGTATAACATACATTTGAAGTTGTTAATTTATGTGATCAATAATATTGTAAATTGATTAATGTTAATTTCCTTTTGCAGTGTGGCAATTGCTGTACGATTTCTAGCTCGACAGGCAGGTCTTATTGAAGTGAAAGGACGATAATATATTTCATTTTCATTTAGTCAAGGAAGGTGATGGTCTATTGATCTAATCTTATTCCAGTGGTTTTGATATTTTATCTTATAGAGTTTAATAAAATAATTTATTTAAATTTTGTTAAATGTTAATGTTGCCTATTGTCTTCCTCAATTTTCCCTATCAAGTAAAGCAAGAGATGTCAGCTGCAACAATTTTCAGACTTGAGGTGATTTGGTACCTTCTGTGCTTTGGTTTTTATTTTATTTAAAATTTCAGAAGGTTAATTTGCCAATTTTCTGCAAGAAATATTGTAAACAACTAAAGAGGTCGTTGATCCTCACATTTGAGATTTTTTTTCTAATTTCTTTTCATTCTGAGAGCATCTACTGGTAGCATATCTTGTTTTAATTCTGTATAACATAATCCCCTCTAAATAGAGAGTTGTCTTTGAAGAAATAATGTGTACTTCCCTAACAATTCCCCTCTGAACATTAGTAATACCTTATAAAAAGCAGAAAATGACTGACAGTTATAAAAATTATGCCATTCAAGTTAGTAAAAATATTTCTGAACATATAATACTTGCCATTGATAAAACTAAATAACATATTAGTTCTATTTACAATTTTGTGCAATATGATGTCTTTCACAAGGTACCCCATCATTATTTGGTGGTGGCATTATGGAAATGTCGAAAAGAAAAAGCATGAGTGAACGTAGAAACCATGTTCATAAAGCTAACTGACGGCAGAACAAAAAAACTAGCTCAATTATTATGAGCTCTTATCCCAGTGCGTTTGTGACCCTGGTGCAAGAGGTACATTGAACCAGGGTGGCTAAAAATTAGAATACATATTTAAAACTTTAAATGAAACAAAACAAAATTTTTAATATATATCAAAGAGCAATACCCTTTTAGCACTGCACATTACTAAACTATTTAAAAGTATAATCATACATTCAAAAAGATTCATATTTCATCAATCACATGAAATAAGCAGAACAATTTTCTCATATATACACACACATTTAGTTTATTGATTAAATAAATCTTTTATGTCCAAAACTGTGTGTGTATATATATATATATTTTATGAGTGTGTGTGTATGTATGTCAACGTTAGCGCCCAAGCTGTTCAGACGATTTTCTTGAAAATTCATATTCCCTCATCGAGCTGGAGGAACTCGAGGGCCTGCGAATTTGAAAGGATATGTCGATTTTGTGCAATTCTTTACATGTAGACTCGACAATTTCGAATTTTTCTCAAAAATCGGCTTCAATTTTTACGGATGCCCTTGCACAGCGATCTCTTAAAAGAATGGCGCATATCTCATTTTCGTTAATGTTCCTGAATTTCCGAGAACTGCCAAAGTTTGACATTTTTTCGGGGACTTTCTACAACTACAACATTGAAGACGGATTTTTCTTAATAAAATATTTCTGAAAGACAGTTCTTGAAATATAATCAAGTACACTTCTCAAAAACATGACTAACTTTCACGTAATTTTGCGTGAAATATAAGCAATTATTTTCTCAAAAACGACTTCATTTTTTATTCGTACGTAGCAAAGGGAGGTTAAAAAATGGAGCTGGTCCCATTTTCGCCGCCGGTGGACTTGACCGGCAAACGGCCACCGGTGGACCGGCAAAATTTAACTCTCTGTCATTTCGAAAATTGCAAAAAATAACACTGCAAAAATACATTGATGGTAGAGATTTTTGTCTTAAATTAAGTCCGTTGTAAAAATTAGAGCTTTAAAGAAGGTCATATACTTTATTTTAAAATCTAAGTAGTTATATAATTTCTGATTGATGTTGCAATGTATGAAAAACAATTCTCCAAAACGGCCCTAAATTATTTATTCATTTTTTTTCTAAGATAGGGAAAAGAACGTGTAAAGTTATGCGTGTAAAGGACGTTTCGAAAACGTGTAAAGGAATTTTAGAATTTTTTAAATAATTTGTTGCGTCTTCGTCGACGCTACACGTCTCTGAAGCCTTGTTGGGGGTTGGGGGCCTGGCACGGAGGAATCCTTCCAACTTATTTTTGTCAAGACTCGTCACGTCGTAGTCAGAAAGTGCCTTTTATCCCTTTGGCCAGGGGCTCAGCGCTGTTAGATCCCTCGGGGTTCCTTAGGCGCCACCCAATCAGGAATCCGCGAAGACTCGAATTCGCTTAACCTCCGAGACTTGACTGGCTATAATTAAGAAATTCGGCTAGCAACGCAGGCAATTGCTAATGTTCGAAAATTGCGAGACAAAATGAGCTGTTTTAGCACCACTAATTTTATCAAAGTTATGTTTCACTGTCTTAGAGCAGTGTCAGTCGTAGTGACATATAAGTACACAAAAACTTTCGGACGCGTTTTCACTGTTGATTCTCAATTATGTCAGTGTATGTAAAAGTGCATACACAAAACAATAGACCAATGTAACGTTTATGTCATCTTTATGACATTTAGTACTATCATTACCAAAAGTTAACAGAAAACTTGGAGCCGTTTTTGAGAAAATCTTGTTTTTGATGTTTTTAAAATTACACATATTGCGTGCAATATTGCGCGAAAATTACTAAAATTTTCAAAACAATGTACTTGATCTTAATGAAAGAACTCTCTACGGATAACATTGAAGAAAAAAAATCCCTATCTCCAACTTTGTAGTTGTAGAAAGAGGCCCGATTTTTGAAATTTTCGAAAATTCAGAGTTAAACGTGAAAATCGGTTCGATGCCACCTTCATAGGTGAATTTTACTCTTCTCTTACAAGACTTTTAAAAAGCAAATTTTTTGCCGTTTCTAAGAAAAGTTTTAAAATTTCGGGGGGCTTCATGTAAAGTACCCCCAAAATTTTCAAAAATGTTTTTCAAAATCTCAAAGCTTCAACTCGAGCAAGATGGACAGAGGTTTCTCCAATTTGGAAAAAAATCTATGTATGGTTTAGGCGCTAGTGGTGTTCATAAACGAACGGAGACAGAGGTTTTGGAAAAAAAAAATCCGTTCTACATAACTTTTCCTATATTATGTATAATACTCCGTATATACGTACGTATACGGGAAAGTAAAAATTGTATGGATTTAAATTGGCCGATGAAACTGATACAGATAGTCCAAAACATATAAAGCAATAACTATGCTTGCAGATGAAGTAAATACAATTATGAAATTTCTCAAATCAAAATCGTCACCAGTTGTATTATAATTCATATATCAAAAGAGAACTTCGTACGTCGAAAAAGTAATAAACTAACCAGGCTATTCCCTAATATTACATGGATATTACAAATTTTGCCAGTTACAAAAGCCATCGGAGAAAGATCATTTTCAAAATTAAAAATGTTTAGTCTAAAAACTTCCTACGGTCAACCATATTACAAGAAATATTAAGCAACGATTCCAATTGAAAATGAAATCTGCAACATTTATTTAGAGTTTCATAAACAAATTTGCAAGTTTGAAAGTTCGATAAGTGCCTTATTTTATATTTTGCATAGTTATTATTTACTATTTATTAAATGTATAATAACTCTTCGGTACACACCATTTTAAAACACTTTAGTGTTAACATACTATGGATAATATTATGTACAATTTGTTGATATATCCCTTGAATTCCCTATCCCTCGTCAACTTTAACAAAAAATGTTTAGGAACAAGAAACCTGACTACGACGTCAAAATAACAAAGATTACAATAAGGTAGGCCGAATTGCAGGAAGCAAACAGCAATTACACAGGCACACCAAACAATGTCTAACCCAAAGACTTGACTCATGTTTCTCTACGTAAATTTAAATCAATACCTTTTTGTTTTCGGGGGTTGTTGTCAGACACAGACTTGACACATTTTTCTGTTCATATTTCGACGCTCTGAATCTGAAGACAGATTTTTTCTGTACGTATTTTGACGTTCTGAATCTGAAGTCAGAATTGTTCCACCCCACCCGTAAAATTTACAATTTACAATTTCATGGTGGTTTTCCGCGATAAAAAAACTGTAGGTTAATGGCGCAATTCGGCTTCAATGCGTCGAAGTACATAGAGAAACATGTGTCAAGTCTTTGGGTCTGAGTAATAGTGTGTGTATGCCTGTGCAATTTGAGACTAATAATTTTGAATATTGTTTTCACTGTGCACGAAATAGCATGAATCAAAGGGCATGATTATATTCTTAAAGGAGGACCATCCATAAATTTCGCAAATTTCGAGTATTTTTAATACCCCTCTCCCCCTGTAACGATCGCTTGACCCCGCATAAATAATTACGAAACTGTGGCGACAGCCTCACCATATACTTGTGTTAATTTTATTTATTATATGTTAAAATTTATGATAATTAACCTTGGAATTAGTTAATGATGCAGACCGTATCTAACAACTAGGGGGAAAAATTAGTGAAGGAAGGATGCATAGGCGAGACAATTGCTGACAAGCCTTACACCCGCCATCGTGGATAATGCATGGGCGAGAGACTGTTGTGTCAATTTAATTGCATTTTAGAATACACCACAGATCGGTTTTGAATATTTTCTTCGTAATCTATCAGATTCAATGAATATATCATTGATGAAAATATATTTCCAAATATTTAAACAATTACATAATTTGTCTTTAATTTATTTATATTTTTAAATATTTTAATGTTTCAGTATGTGAATAAATAAAAGGAATTACTTAAGCAAATGTTAAAAATTACTAAAATAAATAAATATCAGCGTTAGGTAACACTAATCTAACAATCCCTAGACTATGTAACACAGCGTAACGCTGCCAAAAAACGCCCCCCCCTTTAGCGTTACGTTATTTATGCCGACCACCCCTAGGGGGCCTTCTGATTTTAGGGTTTTGTCCCTTATCGTAACGACTCGACTATGACGTCGCGAGATTGGTGAACGAATAGCGGGAAGGGGAGCATTCTGTTAATGTAATGCAAATGACAGTGACATTCTGTTTACATAGTTCGAATGACAATTGGAAATTGTTCGTTGCACAAGCTTAAGGACGTTTCATATTAATCGCGAAGACCGAAGCCGGAGCCACGTCATCCAACTTCAACTCGCTTAGCGAAGCGATAAAATGCCAAGTTAAAGTGTTCGGTACGAAAGTACTTAAAATGCGTAGGACCCACTCAACGATGTTTTATGTTAATCAATCAGGCCGAAGATCCGAGTCTCACATGTCAGTGGGTACGTGTAATGAAGCGCGTTATTGCGCCTTCAAAGTTTAATAAGTGTGTGTGTGTGTGTGTATATATATATATATATATATATATATATATATATATATATATATATATCTGTCCTGAATTCGTAACTGGCTGATGAGGGCAGCACTGTCGCCTTTGGGTGGCAAATGATTCATGTTGAAGGCCGCCAGTCAATTTTTAAATACAGTATCCGAGGGTCTATTTTCTTAAAGTACATTGAGATCATTCTTCGTTGGAGGTTTTCTTCGTTTATAATGGTTTATAACGGCTTTGTTTTGTGTAGGTAATAGAGGCGGCTCGTGAACAAAAATGTTCAGGGTAGGCAAAGCAGATTACACTGGTAAAAAAAGTGACTTCTGTAACAAGAACAAAACACTGTTTC